AGGGACCATTCCCTGGAGAAGGATGTCATTCTTGGTAGGGTGGAGGGTCGATGAAAGAGGGGGAGGCCTTCAAAGAGATGGATTGACACGGTGACTGCGATGATGGGCTCAAGTATAGCAGGGATTGTGGGGCTGGCACGGGATCGGGCAGTGTTTCGTTCTGCTGAGCATGGGGTCGCTATGAGTCGGAAACGACTCGACGGCACTTAACAACAACAACAACAACAACACATTAGAGAATAAGATATGATCTTGACCCTCATGAAACTCATCTTTGAGGAGGAGAGGCAAAGGGGTATACAGAGCACTGAGTTTGTCTCTTTTTTAAAAAGGTTCCTTTCACCTCTTTGGTATTCTTTTTATTTGGGTAAAGGATACTTCACCAATAATCCACTGTCATCAAGTCAATATCAATTCATGGCAACTCCTTGTGTGTCAGAGCAGAAAAGTCCTCCTTAGAGATTTCAATGATTGACTTTTTGGAAGCAGATCTCCAGGTAACTTTTTTCAGGTGTCTCTGGATTTGAACCCCCAACATTTCAAGTAAGCAACTGAGCATGTTAACCATTTGTACCATTCAGGGATTACAAAGAACATTAGCAGTGGTTCAAAAGTAGGATAGATTAGAGAATTGCAATGTATGCTTTCTGCTTGCTTAAATATGTAAATTTTTTATTCTTGTAGAATTTCAAAGTTATCTCAATATCATAAAATGTGAAATAGGTCACAAGGTAAAGAATTACTCTTTGAAAGTCATTTTTGCACACATTAAATCTCAACATATAAAAAATCCATATATAAAGAGGTAAACAAAAGATATAAATACAGATTTGAGAATTAACAGAAGAACTACTCTAGGTAAAATCTTTTTAAACAGCTTAAAAACAAATATTTAGGGGGAAAATTCTCTCACATTTGAAAGAGAAAATACATAAATTGATTTTCCAATCTTATGGAGATCTTTTAAAAGAAAAATGTTCAATAATTTAGAAAGGGTTTGTCCATTCTCAGGAAAGCAAGACTGGACTGAATTTTGTTTCCCGACCAGCTTAAATTAATATATATTATATATATATGTATATATATATATATATATATATATATATGTATAATTATATATATATGGATAAATCCAGCATTCTTTTTTAACTCTGCCATCCTAAAAGAATAATTGGTGTCAAGAATTCATGTCAATTGCAATTGTGACCTGCTTTCTGAAGTCATTGTTGAATAACAGTAAAACATCACCATATCCCATAGAAAATACTTACATCCAAACGCCTGTACAATTCTGGAATATCAGCAAATAGAATGAATAGACACACACTCAGCTGTATGACCAGCACAAGGACAAATACATCTGAGGAAATAAGAACACAGCTATCATTTTCAAAAACAAAGTACCGACTGTCACAATATTGACAGACATATTCTAGATTAACACTGATTAACTGTATTTGATTTCTATATCCAAACACAGCATAATAGATGGAATGTGCTCATTTCTATGCAATAGGTCTCACCTCTACAATTTCTATGCATGTCCTTGAGGCAACTGGAAATTTTCACATGCATGTTATAGGTTTTATTTGGTAAAACTGAAAAATATTTATTCGATAACATTGACAAAATCCATTTTCAAAATGTGCATTGATGACATGCAAGTATCTGAGTCTCTAATAAAAGCCAGCTGCCTCAAATCCTTTCTGGGGGGGAAAAAAATAATAAGGGCTGTAAATAAGTCATTTTTAATGACAAATCATGTAGAGGTCAGCATTTGGCTTCCTCATCCTAAGAAGGAGATGGACAAAACAATTTTCTCTGAAAAAAACCACATTTTTATGAGTATATTGATTTCTCAGCTTCTGCTTCTGGATTTTCACAATTGGAGGGGTAGTTATGGTATGCAAATAAATGCCCCTTAGGGCAACCAGGTCACTTACCACTCCATCAAATACAATTCCCCACCCCAGAATGCAAGGAGATGGGAAATAGTTGGCTGATTCTACATAATTCTGAGTCTACACAACTCCTTCAGACTGAATCCATTCCAGTCTGCCAACCATAAAATGCCATCCTGATCCTTATGTCCATGACAGGAGACAAGTTCCAACGGATACAGATTCTGCATCTGCTCCCTGAGTGACTTGGGCAAGTCTATGCTCCTCCCTGATGACCTCTCACCTCATCCAATATGATTCTACTCACAGTTTTTATAGGTGGGCTGCCTAAATGGTTTTCCTTTAGAGAATATAAGAGCCACCATGATACAGTTGATTGTTCCCAAGAACCATATAGTAGTGTTCTCAAAACTTGTGAAGGCATTATTACTTTCATTTTTTTCTGGAGCAGTTGGAGAAATGCTTAACTCTGAGATGCTTTCATTTTTTACTGTGCAGACACTGAAAAGGAAACCAAAAAAGCAAATGAAGGAAGATAATAGGCCCTTGTGGAGCTTTTGTATCTACAATACACCATGCCAGATTATGTTCGTAACAGGCACTCAATGCTTACATAATTGCTTATGTATAAGCAAGTACAAAGAATATATGGAAACATAAGAAGAAAGAAACTAGCATTTATAGACCTATATTTTGGATGGATGGATGAATGGATGAATGGTGGTTGAATGGATGGATAGGTAGATGGACAAGTTCATTTAGAGACTTATTGGACAAATTTTTATGCATCTTGTAAGACTTTATGGGAGAGAAAGATATGAGTAAGCCATGACTTTACCTACAAGTGGCTTAAGCTCTCTGATAATATATGTGTGGTGTCTATATAATTTATCACCTAACAGGGACAATTTTGAAAGTGAAAGAGAGAGACCTTAACAAATTTCACAAGGACATCAACCTTAAATTGAGGCTGCCCAGGCAAACCATAATACATGGTCACAGAAATATAAAAGAAGATTATAGATGATTATAATCAAGCAAAGGTAAGTGCCAATGAATGATACCATTAAACTGTGCTACAGAGAAGAGGGGGTCACTGGAATATTGCCCAGGGGACTTAGGAAGCCAAAGCCTTTGGCAAAATGGAGAACAATTTCTTCCCTCATATTGCTCAGATGGTGTTTGATAGAGATTAGAATGTGAAAAGCTGGAGTTGGGGCTGGGATGGTACCTGTGCATCTCCAGGGAATACCAAGGCTGCCTTTGCACTAGGAAAAAGCCAACAATGTGCATGACCAGGCTGAGAAGAATGTTGACGATCACAGAGAGCAGTAGCGGAGGGGAGATCAGCCGTCCCGCAGGTCTGAAAGGCACCAGCTTAGGGTAGGCACCATTAAGACTCACTATAAGAGAAATACAAGTATTTTATTGATGGAACAGGAAAATGTCACCTTCTTCATCAAAAAGATGGTGTAAATTTGGGGGCCTACACATCTGAAGAAATGGCCAAACTGGAGTATATCACAGACTGAGGTAACAAAACAATGTAAGAATTCAAACTCAGGTCATATGAGAAGTTCTTAAAGAAATGTACAGAACTACTATGAGATACCATTTTTTTAACCTTCCGAAAGGGCAAAAACTATTAAATTTTTAATAGCTAAGGTAAGCATTTGATAAAAGGAGCACTCTCATAGAGTGCTTGTGGGAATGTACGTTGATGCAAATCTTCTTCAGAATAATTTGGCAATAAATGTGAGGAGATTCAAAGTGTTTCTACCTTTAGATAGTTAAGGAGACCTGGTGGCACAGTGGTTAAGGCATTTTGCTGCTAAACCAAAGATCAGAAGTTCAAACCAGCGAGGCAGTTTGCTTCCCTAAAGATTTATAGTCTTGGAAACCCTATGGGGCAGTTATACTCTGTCCTATAGGGTTGCTATAAGTGGGAACCGACTCGATAGTGACTTTTTTTAAAATGCAGTACATATTACAAATGATAAGATGTGGGGGGGAAGCAAAAACCAAGAGTTGTAACTGTGGTTCATCATAACTCAAATATGTCATAAGTTGGGGACTGTCTGATATCAAAATGCTTTAATTGATTCTCTCTGGGTAACAAACTGAGATAAAGATTAAGAAGATTGTTTCTCTGTTGTACATTGCAATGCTTTCCATTTTCTTTTATAAATGGATGTATGTTAATTAGTCATAAAACAAAATAATTCAAGCTATTCAGCAATAAATAAATAAAAATATGGAAATACTCATTATGAAGAAGAGAACTATGACAGAAGAAGTTAGAACTGTTAGCAAATATCTGAAGGACTGTCACTGGGAGGAAAGTCAGACTATTCTGTGCCATCTCAAGTGGCAGAGCTGAGATGCATGAAAGAAAAACAGAGATAGATTTAGTTCTGTGTGAAGAAGAATTCTATTCACAGTAAGGGCTGTCGAAAGGGCTTCTTTTAGTAGATTTATTTAAGAAATATTTGATGACCTCCTCTGATATGCCAGGCACTGTTAGAAGTATAGGGAATGTAGCTGGGATCAAGACAGACAAGGCATCTGTTCTCTGAAGTGTACACTCAGGGGAAGCAGGCAAAAAACAAGTAAAAACATAAATGAATGTCATAATTTTAGATGGTGAGAAGTACTGCAGGAAAAGAATAATAAAACAGAGTTGTGTCATAGAGAATAATTGGTTTAGCCTCTGTTTAAAGTGACCTTTCTGAGTTAGTCACATTTTGCTGAGATCTGAATAACAAGCAAAAGTAAAAACCATTTGAAGATCTAAGGCAAAATATTCTAGGCAAAGGCAATAGCAAAGGCAAAGCCACAAGCTTGGCATTGCTGGGGACATGGAAGGACTATTGTAGCTAGAACAAGCAATTGAGTGACAATGTGGTTAGAGATGAAGTTAAGAAATAAGCAAGAGCCAAATCATGTAAGGCTTTGGTAGTATAGTGCCTAAGGCACTTGACTGCTAACCAGAAGGCTGGCGGTTCAAACCCACCAGCCACTCCTCAGAAGGAAGGTTGGGCAATCTACTTCCATAGTGATATTGCCTCGGAAACCCAAGGAGGGGTCACTATGAATCGGGTCTGACTCGACGGCACATAACAACAACAATAACATTGGATTCTTACAGAAATGAGAAGCTGCTGGGGCATTTTAAGCAGGAGAATGATATAATAAAACATATTTTTAAGACAATTCCTTTACCATTGTGTGAAGGAGAATGGGAGTAGAGAGTGGGCAGAAAGAGTGGAAGCAAAAATATCATTCATGAAGTCCTCACAATAATTCATGAGAGAGGGGACATTGCTTCGTTACAGTGGCTACACTGGAGATGGAAGAAGAGATTCAAGATACGTTCTGCAGGTAGAGTCAATAGAAATTCCACATGTGTTGGGTGCAAAGAGTCAAACAAACAGGGAAATTAAGGATGGCTAAATTAAGGATGACTCCAGGTCTTCAACTTGAGAAACAAGATGAATAGTTGTACAATTTCAATAGAATGTAAACTCCATGAGAGAAGTTTTTATTTGTTTTGTCTGCTGATGTATTCCAAATGGTTACTTTGTGCTGTTTTACTGTTTTGATTCACTATAATACATAGTACAAAGTAGGCACTGAGTATTCATTAAATTTCCTAAGTATCTGGAGATGTATAAAACTGGAGAAAGAACAGGTGTGGTGGAATGAAGAGTTCTGTTTGAGCATGTTAAGTTTGAGTCCTATTAAATACCAAAAGAAGATGCTGAGTAGTCACACTTCTAGAGGCCAGGATAGAGATCAAGGCTAGAAATAATGAATTTGGGACTCATCAGCAAATTGTTGGTAGTGGTGTCAGGTGCCATCAAGTAGGCTCTGATTCATAATGACCCTATGTACAACAGAATGAAACACTGTCTGGTCCTATGCCAGACTCACAATCCTTGCTACAACTGAGCCCATCATTGCAACCACTGTATCAATCCATCTTCTTGAGGGCCTTCCTCTTTTTCATTGACCCTCCACTTTACCAAGCAAGATATCCTTCTCCAGAGAATGGTCCCTCCTTACAACATGACCAAAGCAAGTGAGACAAAATCTTCCAAAGAACATTCCAGCTGTACTTCTTCCAGAACAGACTTGTTAGTTCTTCTTGTAGTCCTTTCAGCATTCTTCACCAACATCACAACTCAAAAGCATCAACTCTTCTTGAGTCGCCCTTATTTACTGTCCAGCTTTCACATGCATATGAGGTGATCGAAAATACCATGGCTTGGGTTAGGTGCACCTAGGTTCAAACCCACCAGCCACTCCTCGGAAGGAAGGTTTGGCAATCCTACTTTTGTAGTGATACTGCCTCGGACACCCAAGGAGGGGTCGCTATGAGTCGGGGCCGACTCGAAGGCACATAACAACAACAACAACAACAGCCTTCAAAGAGACATCTTTGCTCTTCAGCCCTTTAAAGAGGTCTTTTACAGCAGGTTTGTCCAGTGTAATATGTCATCTGATGCTGCTTCCATTGGTGTTGATCATGGAACCAAGTAATATGAAGTCTTTGGCAAATTCAGTTTTTTCTCCATTTATCATGATGCTGCTTATTGGTCCAATTGTGAGGGTTTTCATTTTCTTTACGTTGAAATGTAATCCATATGGCAGACTGTAGTCTTTAATCTTCATCAGTAAGTGCTTCAAGTCATTCTCACTTTCAGCAAGCAAAGTTGCATCGTCTGTATATCGCAGGTTGTTAATGAGTCTTCCTCCAATCCTGATGCCATGCTCTTCTTCATATAGCCCAGCTTCTCAGATTATTTGCTCAGCATACAGATTGAATAAGTATGGTGAAAGGATACAACCCTGATGCACTCCTTTTCTGATTTTAAACCATATAGTATCCCCTTGTTCTGTTCGAATGAACAGCATATAGATAGTAATAAAGCCACAGGACTTGTTGACATCATATAGAGGAATGGTATAGATTGAAAAGAGAATAGAACCCAAGAATGAGCCTTGGAATATTATAAAAGTTAGATGACAGGTAAAGGAGCAAGAACCCGCAAAGGCAATTGTGAAGGTGTATTCTTTGAAGTGGTAGTTAATTCAGGAGTGTGGTATCACAAAAGCCAATCGAAGAAAGCTTTTGAAGGATACTGCTATTGAGAGACTTGAGTACAATGAGAGAGATGTGGTCATTGCTGTTGATAGTAAGGATGTCACTGATGGAGTTCACAACAGCAGTGTCAGTGAGGGGGCAGCTGAAATGCAGATAGCTGTTGCTCTCCCTGAGCACATTCTCAAAAGCTGAGCTTCTGAACAATTTTTTAAAAGTGATGTGTTGGCAAGGTAGCTGTTAGGATTATTATGAGAAGATGTATGAGGAAATAGTGTGAAAGCAAGTCCACAAGGCATGTAGCAGAGGCTGTTAAAGACTGACACCTTCTTAAAGTGTTTCCTTTCTAGTCAGTGGTTGCTGCAGCTGGTTCATACTGGCTTGCAAGAGCCAGTTGTTTAATCAAACAAGAAGCTAAGCACAACTATTATTAAAAATAAATTATGTAAACTTGCAATTAAGTAAATACATTAAAAATAAAAGTAATGAATATTCAAAAATGATTACTTTGTAATTAGTTTACTACATTTTAGTATTGTTAATGCTCTTGAAGTTAATCATGTGGATGAAATTTAAAACTGTGTCACATTGGTAGCCATTACATCATGAATAATAAAAGAAAAATGAGAAAATATTCTTCCAGCATCTGAAAACTAATACTCGATTCAGAAAGAAGTTGCTCACACCATTGGTGAAAGAATGAAGTTCTGACACTAATTTTAGTAGTTTTACTTTTATCTTACCAGTTAAGGTAAAGGAAAATATCAACCAACACTTATGTTGGAACTAATTCAGTCATCAGTTGCAGCCTTAGGCTGACCATGGATACAAGGGCAAGCATTGTGTAAGAATCAATTGGCTAAATGGAATTTGCAATAAAGAGTACTGTATCCTTTGTTATTATTTGCAAATTGCTTACTACACATTCTTAGTTTGGGCACATTTATAATGTTTTTTGCTGGTAGGTACAGCCAAGTCAATTCTAACTCATGATGACTCCATGAATTGCACCATGGGGTTTTCAAAGCAGCAATCATTCAAAAGCAGTTCATCAGGCCTTTCTTCCAAGGCAACTCTCAGTAAGTTTGAACCATCAGCCATTTTGCTAGTAGTCAAGTGCTTAATCATTTGTATCTCCCAACATACACACATGAATTTTTAATAGAACCATTTGTTAATCATTTGTTAGCACACCGCTGAGTCCTAATAAACAACAGCATAGGCCCAGCACCCAGATTCATGCTGTCATATATTAGAACTTGACTGCATCTCTAGTAGTTGGAACAGAAGACTGACTAAAATGAAATGACAATAGAATTAATAGAATTAGAGATGGGAAGAGGAAAAAGTGAATGCATGCAACCACTATTTGGGAAATTTCAGAATAATGGCATTTGTAGCTAGTGGAAGATTTAGAGTCAAAGAATTGTTTAAAAAAGAAGATACTAGATGCTGATGGGAATACTTCAATAGATAAGAGAAAAGCTGATGATAATGGAGGAAGAGGTTATTAATGAACAAAGTCAATGAGAAGGTGGGAGGAAATAGGATGCAAAGTACAAGTGGAATTGTTGCATTTATGTATTAACAGAGAGAAAACAATATGGGTAAAGATGCTGGTTGATGGGTGTGTGTGAAGAAATTCCTTATCAGGGAAACTGGGGAGATGATTCATATATTAGTTAGAAAGTGGTGGATGGAAGCAGTATACTCTCAAGATTGTCCTTAAGCTCTATTCTAAATTCCAAGCAGCTAGGATTTGGAGATGAAAACATAAAAGCTATTCAGTTTCTACAAACTGGGTACATTTAATTATAACTATACCTAAAAGCAGACTGAGGTCACCTTTCTTGGTTTTCAAGGTACTTTTAATTTTTAAATGTTTAGTGACCATTATGAAAGCTCTATATTTTGTAGGAAACAACAAAAGAGCAAGCCAGCTTTTCCTTTAATAATACCATCTGTCAACACTTAAAAGTGAGGACTCCATTTTCTCTCTTTGTCTATACCCTCAGGAATAAGCATATGACCGTTGCTGCAGCTGCTGCTGCTGCCACCCCTCCTGGTAGAAGAACCCTTCTGGGGCACAGGGGAAGCAAGCCGAGGGGAGTACCTCTGGGAAGAAAGTAGTTTAAACGTCTTACTTGTTATACCAATAAGAGTTGTAATGGCCAAATCCTGGAACAGAAACTGGTAGTTTGAAAGGCTGTTTGTCTCCTGAAAAGAAAAAGAAAAGCTCGAGAAAGTTATTTTACTTTCTGAAGTCTGACATCAATTGCATTCATTTGCCACATAAGACTTTTCTAACAAAGTGCCAAAGAGATGGTGTGGCCAGGGCCTCTTTGGGGTGGTAAGGGGCCATATTGATGGCATTTCTCAAAGCCAAGCATGTGAAGCCCTCAGGGAGCAGGAGGGTCACCAAGCAGGAGTGCTTTCTTGACTGGTCATTTGTGCATCAGGATGATCCTTTGTTGAGGACAACATTTGCTCTGCTAGATTCATCTTTGCTCTCTCTTCTACTTTGACGTAGAAAACTTGGGGTTTGGTCTGGAGCAGTAAAAGTGCATTCCTAGTAGTACAAGTAACAGGTAAGCGATCTTATCTAAATTTTACCAGAGGGAAAATTAAAATAACAGAACCCATTATTTACATTCCCAGGTGGCAATAGACTTGATGTCACAAAGCACTGATTGATACCTTAGGAGAAAATGTGTTCAGGTCTTACTGATTTTAAGTAGACTTTTCTCACCACCTCCCCCACCTCTACTCCCCACCCCTTAGTGGGAAGAGAGAGAATGAAATCTCATGTTTAATTGCACTTTTAAGCATAATGAGTTACTGGGATTCCAAAATAGATCCAAATTTCCATAAATGACCTGAACTCTTCCAAGCCATTTATTGGTGAGTTAGAAAAGACAGCAGCAGTCTAAAAACAACAGAGCTAAAACTCTTAATCTCAGATCAAGAGGCAATGTTAAGTAGAGATGAAACTAGATGACAAGCTCAGCGTCAATAAAATATCCTTTTTGAAGAACTCTCTGATAATTAATGAAGTAAGCCCACATGCTGGGTTCACAAACAAGAGGCATGTTTTTTCACCATTATATCTTGTTGAATACTAAAAGCCATCACAAGACTTGTATTGTTTGTGATATGATATGTGAATTTTCAAATCCCCATATGCAGGGAATCATGGTGTACTGGAGCCTGCTTTGAACTGGCTCAGGGGAGTACACAGCTAAAGTTTCAGGAATTTCATGTGCCAGTTGTTAAACCCAGTCATTATAAAAATAAATAAGTTACACAAACTTGCCATTAAATAAACTGTGTTAAAAACAAAGGTAATAGATACTCAAAACTGTCTTCCTAATAATTTTACTATATTTTACTGTTACTTATACTCCTGAGAGGAGCTCTGGTGGCATAGTGCCTAAGGCACTTGACTGCTAACCAGAAGGCTGGTGGTTCAAAGCCACTCCTCAAAGGTTGGGCAATCTACTTCCATAGTGATACTGTCTCAGAAACCCAAGGAGGGGTTGCTATGAGTCAGATCTGACTCAACAGCAGTGAGTTTGCTTTTTTTTTTTTTTTTTTTGGTTATGCTCTTGAGACACTCTTGAGATTGTTTACATCTATTGCATCTATATGATGAAAATACTATTTACCAACACACCACTGCAGAGAATCATCTCCTTAATGAATGGTATGCTATGGTAGAATCACCCTGGAATTGTAAAGGTAGAGATGTTGTACCAATTTGACAGGTGGAAGTGGCCAGGAGAGAGGCAGTGTTGTGTACAGTCCTGATCCTCAGATACCACTGGATGAAAGGATGGTAGGTCAAAAAGATAGAGAATTGACATTAACAAACTTGCTCATGCACATTTGTCTATTTCTGATTTACTGTGGAAAATACTTCTAGAGGGGCTGTTGGTTCTCGATTACCCTATTTACATTCTCTCATTTAGAGGTATTGCAAACTGAGAGTGCACCTACACTGGTTTTACTTCTCACTAACCAAGAGGCTAGGTCGCAAGTCATACCCAGTAGAGCAGCAGAACACCAACATACTGAATCATGCTGTACAGAGCCATGTACTTAAACATACAAAATGAGGTCACGAGAGCTGCACGTCCTTCCCTGCATAAAGAAAAGAAATGAGGTCAGTTGCTCTGGGCCATTCAGCTGAGCTGAGGAGGAAAGAAATTAAAAGTCTAATTGTTCAAATATTTGTCTGACAGACTGGACAGCCTTGAGACAGTGGGAGTAGCTAGGTTTTCAGGGAAGATCAATTCCAGGCCAGTTTTCATAGACCTTGATCCAGCTATGGAACCCACATTTAAAGTTACTTTTGTCCTCTCTGTGGACATGATTTCAGCTCCTGAACTCAGTCATGGAACCTAGGAGCTATTCCCAGATTTTGTCGCTATTCAACAGTGTAACTTAGATCATTTCCCTCTTTTTAGGTGCTATGGTGGTGTAATGCCTAAGGCCTTTGACTCCTAACCAGAGGGTGGGTTGTTCAACCCCACCAGCCACTCCTTAGAAGGAAGATTGAGCGATCTACTTCCGTAGTGATACCGTCTGGGAAACCCAAGGAGGGGTCACTATGAGTCGTATCTGACTCAACAGCAGTGAGTTTGAGTTTATTTGGTTTCCCTCTTTTAGTCAATGTTTTTCCATCTGTGAACTAAGGGATTTAAATAAGATTGCAAGTTTGAGATTTTCATGCACATGTTTCAGGAGTTTAGCAAGCACTTGATTCAGATATCACTTTGTGCTCACTACCCACAAGCTACTCCTCAGAAAGAAGGTTGGGTAATCTACTTCCATAGTGATACCGTCTCAGAAACCCAAGGAGAGGTCGCTATGAGTCAGGTCCAACTCGATGGTACATAACAACAGCAACAACATTTCTAAAACTATGCTAAAAACAACATGCATACTCAAATGAGTCATATAAATTTAAAGAGATTGGAAACTAAAAATTGGTGGTGCAAGTCGTTAACATGCTCAGCTGCTAACCAAAACATTAGAGGTTGGAGTCCACCCAGAATTGTCTCAGGAGAAAGACCTGGTGATCTATTTCTGAAAAATCTGTCATTGAAAGGCCTACGGAGCACAGTTCTACTCGGACACACATGGGGCTGCCATGAGTCAGAACTGACCCCATGCCAATTGTTTTATGTTTGTGTGTGTGTTTTTGAAACTAAAACTATGCAAATTTTTGTTCTTATTGATTAACTAGTACACGTATAAAGCATAAAATAAATTACTTATAAAATACCACTTTTATCTATTTCATTTGGAAAAGAAATTAAGTTTAGATTTACTTGTGGTCATAATAAAGAGCCCTAGAGATGCAATGGTTAAGTGCTGAGCTGCTAACCTAAAGGTTGGTAGTTCAAACACACCAGGTGGTTCAAACACAGGAGAAAAGATCTTCACAGGAGAAAAGACCTGGTGATCATCTCTCATAAAGATTACAGCCTAGGAAACTCCCTGGGGTAGTTCTACTCTATCCTATAAGGTCTGTATGAGTCAGAATTGACTTAAGGACACACAACAACAGCAACGTGGTCATAATAAGTTCCTGGGGTTGCAAAATCTGATTCTCAAGACAAGATTTTTCCAATATCAGGACTTTGTTACTGCAATACACTCTGCCTAGAAGACAGTTAATTAGTTCCTTCTCATTCCTCACCTCCTTAGAGAGGCTTTCCCATATCACCCCACATTAAACAGCAAGCTCCTCTCCCAGGTCATCTTACTACCTTTGACATCATACATTTTTGTGTTTCCTTGTTACATACCAGTTGCTGTAGAGTCAACTCCATCTCATGGCAACCTCAAGTGTGTTTGAATAGAACTGTGCCCTATATTGTTTTCAGTGGCTGAATTTTTAGCAAGGTGATTACCAGAACTTCCTTCAAAATTTCCTCTGGGTACATTCAAACTTCCAACATTTTGGTTAGTAGCAGAATGCTGAAATATTTGAGCTTCCCCCCAAAATGAACCATCATTGAGTCAATTCCAACTTTCAAGAGGTCTTTTGTAGCAGATTTGCCCTATGCAAATGCATTGTTTAATTCCTTGCCTGCTGCTTCCATGGGCATTGATTTTCATTCCAAGTAAAATCAAACCCATGACAACTTCAATCTTTTCTCATTTTATCGTGATGTTGCTTATTGGTCTAGTTGTGAGGGTTTTTGGTTTCTTTATTTGATATGTAATCCATACTGAAGGCTCTGCTCTTTCACCTTCTTCAGTAAATACTTTTAGTCATCTTTACTTTCAACAATGTTGTATCATCTGCATATTGCAGCTTGGTAATGAGTCTTCCTCAATCCAGATGTCTCATTCTTTTTCATATAGCCCAGCTTCTTGCATTATTTGCTTAGCATACAGATTGAATAAGTATTGTGAAAGGATAAAATCCTGATGCACATCTTTCCACACAGTATTCCTTTGTTCCTTCTGAGTAACTGTCTTGGTTGATGTACAGGTTCCACATGAACACAATTAATTGCTCTGGAATTCCCATTCTTCCCAATGTTATCCATAATTTGCTATGCTCCACACAGTCAGATGCCTTTGCATAGTCAATGAAACGCACATAAACATCTTTCTGGTATTCTTTGCTTTCAACCAAGATCCTTCTAACATCAGTAATGATTTCCCTAGTTTAAAGTCCTCTACCGAATCTGGCTAAAATTTCTGGGAGTTCCCTGTCAATGTACTGCTGCAACTATTTTTCAGTTATCTCCAGCAAAATTTTACTTGCATGTGATACTAATGATATCATTCAATAATTTCCACATTCTGCTGGATCCCCCTGGCTTTGGAATGGGCATAAATATGAACCTCTTCCAGCTGTTTGGCCAGTTAGCTCTCTTCCAAATTTCTTGGCATAGACAAGTGAGCATGTCCAACGTTGCATCCATTTGTTGAAACATTTCAATTGGGATTCCATCAAATCCTGCAGCTTTATTTTTCACCAGTGCCTTCAGTGTAGCTTGGACTTCTTCCTTCGATGCCAATGGTTATCAATCATGTTACCGACTGAAATGGTGAAAAGTTAGCCAATTCTATTTGGTTCCGTGACAATGTATTCCTTCCATCTTCTTTAGATGCTTCCTGCATAGTTCAATATTTTCCCCATAGAATCCTTCAATATTGCAACTTAAGGCTTGAATTTTTCTTCAATTATTTCAGCTTGAGAAGTACAGAATCATAACTGTTACCTTTGTTTATCTCTGTACTTGCTAATTGCCTGACTGCCTTCACCAAAAGAAAGCTTCATGAGATTAGGGTGTGTGTGTTTTGTTTTTTTGTTTTTTCTACTTGCTCCTAGGGCCCCAGTTCTTCCAACATTGCCTGGCACTGAGTGCCTGCTCAACTATTGAATGCATGAATAAATTAAAAAATTTAGAAAGCTAGCCGAATAATTACTTCAAGGTGGTAAAAGAATATGATATTTTTACAGAAAATGCATTTAAACAAAATGAATTCTAGTTCACTAACTATAGAAGGTGATTACCAGGACTTTCTTCAAAAGTTCCTCTGGATACATTCAAACTTCCAACATTTCGGTTAGTAGCAGAATGCTGAAATACTTAAGCTTCCCCCAAAACGAACAACCATTGAGTCAATTCCAACTTTCAGGAGGTCTTTTGTAGCAGATTTGCCCTATGCAAATACATTGTTTATTTCCTTGCCTGCTGCTTTTGAGTGATCTTGGGCACATGAGTTAAGTTCTCTAAGCCTCAACTGCTTTATTTGTACAACAAATAATAGCCATTCTACATTTCCAAGCTGTCTTAAAGTATAAGATAATAGGCATTAAAGTCCTTCATAAAGTACATACATGTGCTAGTTATTACAATAACCAAGATTATACACATTGCTAACTATCATTCAAATAAAATGCAGCATGTCTGGGGAAAGAAAATAAGAAGCAAGGGGAATTTTAGTGGGAACAGCAAAGACGAAGAAATATCTTGAAAACTAGTGATGGGAAGGATAATTCAAAGACATATAAGGAAGCATAAAGAGGCATGGGGAAAGAAGGCAAGTGGGGGAAAGAAGGTTTCTCTCAATTTCCAAGATCTAAGGAGAAACAATAAAAAGTAGATAAATATACAAGAGGAAGGATCAAAGCAGGAATAAATTCCACATTCCAATCTTCTAAAAATTACCTAATCAGTGACTTTCATTGGACATGTCACTGCTCTCACAATTTTACTTGCAACTCTTAGTGAATCCATTTGACGGCAGAATGTTTTGACTGCATTCCACTACAAAGCTTTTTCTCAGCCCTGGGATACAATCAAGGATTCCCTGGTCTTTTCCAGGTAAGACAATATGGTTTGGCTCTGAAAGCTAAAACAATGCTGAGGGAAAGTGCCTACTTACTTGATAAGATGGGGTACACACTCAATGTTTGGAGTTTTGGAGGTGAAAGGTGAGGCCACAGATGCTTCCTGCTCTGACAGAGAGATGCCCACATGAGCCATTTTCAAAGCCTGAAAGCAAACAGTCAAATAATAGCCTCACATATGTCTCCACTGAGGCCCTGTAGTAAAAGCTAGCTAAGCTCCATGCATGGTAACTGTGGACCAAAGCACCAGATATGAGATGATATGTCTTTGTTCTGGCTGCTGCTAGAGGAAGACACGGCATTAGGACATCTAATCAAAGAAGTGAAAACTCTGGAACCAAACTCTATTCTGTTTAGTCTCTACTGACCACTGAGTCTTTGAGTGACTGGTCAAATGCCTCCCAACTCCCTCAGCATGATTTTGCCCATCAAGAGCACTGGTGATGGTGTATATCCCAGAAGATATTACCTTTGAAGGTCCCCAGACAAATATAATTGACCAATACTATGGCCCCCCACACTGGCAGCTACTTACCCCACAGTCATTGGCTCCATCACCACACATGCCTACAAAGTAACTAAAAGAGAACCATGTCAATTGCAAAGGATATCAAAGCAAACTTACCAGCTAATTTCCCTAATTGAAAAGGGAAATTGAAATTGAAAAAGTCTTCATTACTTAAGACTCAAACACATCACTTATTTTAAGGGAGGGTGCAAATAGTTAACATGCTCAGCTGCTAACTGAAGGGCTAGAGGTTCAAGTCCACCCAGATATGCCTCAGAAGAAAGGACTGGTGATCTCCTTCCAAAACTCAACCACTGGAAACCCTGTGAAATACCTTCCTACTCTGATACACATGCGGTCGCCATGAGTCAGAATTGACTTGATGGCAACTAACAACAACAAAGCTTACTCTTTAGGTTTTCAACTATAGTGAGAAGACAGGACTTTCTGAATCCGGAAGCTTGCCTAATAAATGAGTCAAGTGATTAGAGGATGTAGGCAAAGGTGTACAGATGTGATGAAGAGCCAGAAGCAGAAAAAGCCTATGATACTATATGGAGTTCCATTAACAATTAATGAAAGGGCCCAAATGATAGGTACTTTATTTGAACTTCCCATTGTGTCTAAAAATGGAGACCCTCTGTGCTGGCAAAGAAGGATTTTTTTTTTTTTTTTTTTTTTCTGAGTTTGGATGGAAAGGGTGCTTTGGCATAAGAATATCTAAATATTTGAGGGTTATATAAATCTTTTGTCACATTAATAATCCTATATCATAACTGTAATGATGACAGCTTATAGAAATAAAGTCCAAATGCTCATATGTCTCCAGTATCTGAGCTCAACTACTTTTTGAACTTATTTCTCACCACATTTCTTGTGGTTTAGTCCAGTGGTTCTCAACTTTGGATGCAAAATGGAGCAATCTGAGGAGCTTTGAAAAACATGCTAAGGTCCAAGCCCCATATTGAACAATTGAATCAGAATCTCTGGAAGGTGGGGTTCTGATGTTGGATTTTTTAAAAAGGTCCCCAGATGATTCTCATCAACCCAGGTAAGTGCCCGGTGCCCTAGCCAAACTGAATGACTTCCCTATACCTCTGCCTCTCCCCTGACTGCCATGCCTCCATGCAGTTCACTCCACCTGAATTGGTAAAGAACCTACTCCAGTTTCTGAAATTCTTCCACTAGACTGGATTTCTGCCCAGGAGACATTCTTGCAAAGATGGTCCCATTAATCAGTATCTGTAAGGAACCCAAAAAATAAAAATTTTTATCATATGAGCTGATCACGCATGAAAAAAAATGATAACACTCAGAACACAGGCTTGATGATGATACCCAGGAACAGGAAAAAAAGTCTGTTTAAAAGGAGCACTCCTTTGGTTCTTAAGATAGGTCATTGAGACTTCAGTCATCAGCTAAGTGATCCGTGAAGACCACAAATCAGTAAAGATGACTGCTTAATAAGCTGTTTGATGGAAATAGAGACCTAAAGGAACTTGGTTCAGCTACCAAGAGGAATATGGTCCTAAAAAATCCTGGGCTTCCTGGAACCTTGAACAAGTAGAGTGTGCCAAAATGCAAGGTAGCAAGCAAGCATCAGGATCCCAAAAGATGGAAAGGAGGCAACTGTTTCTTGGAAAATCATTCAGCCAATGGTGAAATAGTAACTATTTGTGATCTGTGACTTAACCATACAATCTGAATTCAACCAACTGTGAAACTAAGCTAATATCTCAAACTTAATTTGGTCTGTGAAACATCAATGGTTTGGGTGTATGAAAACCAGTAACTAGCACCCTCTATCTAAGCTCATCCTATAGAGTCTAAATCCTTTTGTGTTTTGTATCTGTGTTCTCTACTCAGTCTCAAAATATTTACTCTTCTTTTCTTACACAGTACCTAAAATGATGAGAAATTAAATAACAAATTTCTCTTCAGGTTGCACTAAACATAACCCTTCTCTAGTTTGTTCATATGTTATGTATACATCTAACTTACGTGTTCCCATTACAGGTTTGTTCTTCATCAGAAAAGTTTTAATTTTGACCCTGCTTAGTATAGTAGTCCTCTATTATAAACCAAACAGATCAGAGAGATGCAAATCAAAACAACGAGATACCGTCTCACCCCACCACTGATGGCAAGGTTCAATGAGACAGAAAATAACAAATGTTGGCAGGGATATGGAGAGATTGGGACTCTCATAGACTGCTGGTGGGACTGTGAAGTGATACAACCACTGTGGAAAGCAGTATGGTCATTCTTAGAAAGCTGGAATTGGAGATACCTTTTGACCCAGCAATCCCATTACTAGATATATCTCCTAGAGAGGTGAGAGCCAGACAGGAACAGATATATGCATGCTCATGTTCATTGCAGCACTATTTACAATAGCAAAAAGATGGAAACAACATACATGCCCATCATTGGAAGTGTGGATGACTAACTGTGGCACATACACATACTGGAATGCTATGCAGCACTAAAGAATAATGTACAGTCGGCAAAACACTACATGATATGGATGGACTTGGAAGACATTATGCAGAGTGAAATAAGTCAATCACAGAAGGACAAATAAAATATTAGTTCTTTGTTGTGGAGGGTCAAGGAAAGGTTTATATATGGAGGGAAATTTTGTTGGTTGCCATGGGTGGGAGGGGAGTGGAGGGAACCCTGCCAAAAAAAAAAAAAAAATGCATTGACCCATGTCACTTTAGTTTTGTGTATTTCACCGTACATAAATTATATTTCAGTAAAATGCATTTAAAAAAAAAGAGTTCTTCTATTCTTGACCTGCCTTCTGAATAACTGCAGAATTTTCCTTATACTATAATTCCTCTACCCAAAACAATCCTTATGATTTGAAAAATCACTGACACTTCAGTCTGGTAGGTAGCAGAACATTGGCTAATCAAGTTTACTTATTTCAAATATAGTAGGAAATGAGACAACAGCAACTTCTGCAAAAATATCTACCTCCCTTATAATGTATAGAACTAACTACTCAAAGTTCTATCATATCTATGCTGAGCCTTAGGAAGACATAGAGCCATTCTCTGTAGGTGACGTCTTAAGCATATTTACTGTGAGATTGGCACTCTCTTCGAACTTACCTTTGGCAGTAGGCTGCTGAAATGTTGACATATAATCTGAAAGGATTTTCCACTGAGGGCAAAATGGTATCTTCCTTCTCTGTCATTACCAGGGACTTCTTCCCTGATGTTAATGTAATTGTCCTGAAAACCAAGACACAGTTAGTTTTGACCCTTTCACTGGATAGAGTGGTTAAGGCCACACACATATCTGAGAAAGGAAACAAAGACAGAATCTAATCTCTCTTTAAAAGTCAAACTCCACCCCTGATACCTCACAGAAACACTTTCTCTTTGCTGGGTCAATCATTGACTATCCCAGCCACCAGTGAATAAGAGAATAGCACTTACTTGTGTCCTGTTTTCATCCTGATTTGATCTCGATGAGTCCCAGAGAGGAGCACATTTCACATATTTCAAGTGTAAAATACAAAAGCCTGAAGCTTTACATATCTCTCTCTGAAGGGAGAACTTACTATTTTTTTTCTTACAGAATTAATATCATTGCACAAGGACACAATAGAGATAGAATACTGACAAGACTGGAGATAAACAAGTAAACCTTTGTTTTCCCCCACCAGAGGCATGGGTTGATTTTCCAATGCACACAGTGGTGTCTTTTCTAGGGAGCTCAAAGAGGAGGCTGACAAGCAAGAGAAATATGAAGAATTAGCTTTGCAGCTCCACTGCCTATATACTTTCTCATACAGAGTCAACAATTTTTTTAAGTTTTAAAGAATGGATTATTTCAAGCATCTAGCAAAAACACTGTACCTTTTAGCTCAGTGAGAACAGTATAGGAAAGTGATGTAACTGAGTTCATGAAGTGTATATGTGGCAGACATATATTTGGAGAAGTATGTTGACTCTAGGTCACTTATACACCACTGCTGGCCAAACCTATTCAGTCACCAAAACGATTAGACAAATTAGGTAATAGAGTGGAAAGCCCATTCTCAGGTATACCTGATTCCCATATACAATGTGCTGCTTCTCTTCGACTAATTTCCAAGATATAGATGCTGATGAAGATCCACTAGGTTCATTTGCCTCAATAAGAATAACCTTCTCATTTTCAGAAACCATCCCAGACTTTCTGGCCACCGTTATAGCAGTCTGAAGATTGTCACCTAGAAGTAAGATATCCAAAAATAAGGTTGAAGAAATTGAACTAATTCATGTAGGGCCTGGCAAACCAAGGAAAGGAGTCTGCACCTTATTCTAACTGTGGAGAGAAATAATTTTCTTAATAGAGAGCCTGACCCTCTGTAATTCCATAATCCTTTTTCTGGTTCTTCCTGCTTTTCATCTGATTACTTCATGACCTACCAGTGTATTTTTTGCCAGAGACTAGGAGCTCTGGTAGCATAGTGCCTAAGGCACTTGACTGCTAACCAGAAGTCTGGCGGTTCAAACCCCCCAGCCACTCCTCGGAAGGAAGGTTGGGCAATCCTACTTCCATAGTGATACTGCCTCGGAAACCCAAGGAGGGGTCGCTATGAGTCGGGGCCGACTCGACGGCATATAACAACAACAACAACAGGAAGAAAAATACAAAGATAACATTCAAATCTATTTCTGTCATTTGTTGATAGCTTTGCAAGAGTTTAGCAAAACTCTTGTGGTTTAATATAGCATCTGGTAGTTCCACTTCTAGCTGAAAAGGAGTAAACCCACTACAATCAATCTCTCCTGCAGATTACAACTGAAAACTATAGACAAAATACAAAAATCAACTACCTAAGTACACTTAAAAGTCAACAAAATCAGACAGAATATGTGAAGGGAGGTAAAACTTGGAGAAAGAAACTACAAATGGATGAGTGTCACATTTTTTTCTCCTTTCTCTTGCACTTTTGACATGAGGGTGGGGCCAAATTCTAAAGCCACACAGGCTGTTAAGACTTCAAAAAAATCTAGTCTTTCTAGCCAGAGAAACTGTCAAAGGGGTCCCTATGAGCTGGAGGGTATGAGGGAAATCCTGGAAGGAAAGAGCTGAGTAAGAGGACTAACTCAATATATGAACCTATATAAGTCCCAACCTCAACCCAGAGTTGTACATGTGTGTAATAGACCTAAAGGTGCATAACAAAAGCTTTAAGAACTTAACTAAGATGTAAATCACATCTTATGACCCAAACTAACCCCTATGTGGGACAACCCAAATCGCATAGTAAAAACTTTGAAATTTAGTATAACACTGGATCCACCAACTACAATAGGTAAGATAAATTGTGATTGATTGATTGCTAAAGTAATAATAATATAGAAAGTCAACATTTTATGGAAGGAAATTATCTTTGTTGATTACCGGGGGTGGGAGGGGAGAAGAGGAGAGGGAACACTGTTAGATAGGTAGAGACAAGTATTGATTTGGGTGAAGAGAAGGGCAAAGTACCAAATGTGAGTGATAAACACAGTAGCATCGAGGAAGAGGAAGACATACAGAGGTGCATGGGATGTACAGACAACACAGATGAACCCTTTTATACATACAGTACTGCATTGTCAGTGAAGGCAAACATTGATATATGGGTGGGTGGATAGATGGGTGGGCAGACTGAATTATTAGGTATGTCTATGCAGGTGGGAGTGTGCCTAAGACCATGTATAGGGTTGGCAGACAATGTTTCTAAAAGTGTATTTATATGTTCTGTAAGAATTCCCAGGTATATAGTAGAGCTGACGAGGGATGAGGTTGTAGTCACTTCTTGGCCATAGGCAGACACCCAGAGGGAGAGAGTAGATGTACCTGTGGACTTGGGACTTGGGACCACAGTCTCAGGGGACATCAAGCTCAATTGACATAACATACTAAATAAAAATGTTGTTCTACATCCTACTTTGGCTAGTATCAACTGGGATCTTGCAAGCAGACATCTAGACACAATGATAGGTCTCTCCTTATCCAGAGCAAAGAATAATGAAGAAAACCAAAGATGCATGGAAACAATTAGTCCAAGCAAATGATACATCATACAATCCTCAGCCTATACGACTATGAGACCAGAAGAACTAGATGGTGCCCAGCTACCACTGTCAACCTCTTGGAAGGGGATCTTTGTAGGAGATACTGGATAGAGTGGGAGAACAATATGGAACAAAACTCAAAATCATTAAAAAAAAAAAAAAGACCACATTTGCTGGTCTGATAGAGCCTGATAGAACCACTGAGACTATAGCCCCTAGCTGCCTTTTGGGTCTGAATTGAACCCATTCTTGTGGTTTCCACCCAAATAAAAGACAGGCACATGAGCTGAACATTTACATTAGGTAGGTACATTCCTTGGAGAGCTCAATCATGGGAGAATAAAAGGCCTGTGTATGCACAGGGAGACAGCTTGGGGGACAGGAGTGCATGGGAAGGAATGACACAGGGAAGAGGTAGCTATGGGGAGGACATAGAAGGGGAGCTGTTGCATTGTAGGAAATTATAGTCAATGTCATGAGACAAAGTATATGTGAGCTGCTGTATGTAAGGTGAATTTGCTCTGTAACCTTTCACCCAAATCACAATAAAAATTTTCAAAAAAGTCAACATTCTCTGGGGTATTTTAATAGCATACAAAATTTCACAAACAATATAATATTCAAAATGTCCAGTATACTTAATACTAAAACTTTTTATATTTGGCCAAAGCTCTACAATCAACAGATGTCATCCCAAGGTGACCCAGTTATTGGCATTATCAGACAAAAGTTTTAAAGCAGCTATTATAAGCCTCCTTCTTGTGGCAAAATATGCTCTTTAAATAAATGGAAAGATAGAAGTTCTCAACTGACAAATATAAACCACAAAAAAGAACCAAATGGGTATTTTAGAATTGAAATATATAATACCAGAAATAAAATATTCATGGGATGGACTCAAGAACAGAATGGAGGTGACAGGAGAAAAAGTCAGTAAACTAGAAGATAAATCAATAGAGATTATACAATCTAAAAAATAGAAAGAAGTTTTTTAAATGAACATAACCTCAAAGTTATCAGAAGGTTTTATATTCATGCCATTAGAATCAAGGAAAGAAAGCAAAAAGAGATTGTATCTGGAAAAAAATATATTTGAAGAAATAAAAGTAGGAAACTTCTCAAGTTTGATGAAAGATCCAAATTTGCAGATTCAATGAAGACAAACAGGTGAAACACAATGTTACACCCAGACACATAATCAAACTGCTGAAAAACAAGATAAAATATCCTAAAAGCATCTAGAGAAAAACAATTTATTACATATAAAGGAAAATCATTGAATACATCATATGTGTATCAACAAAAACCACAGAAGACAGAAAACAATGGAACAAGCTTTACAAAGTGCTGAAAGAAAAGGACTATCAATTTTAACTCCTATAGCTAGTGAAAATATCCCCCAGGAATGGAGAAGAAGTAAAGACATTCTTAGATAAACAAAAACTCAAGTAATTTATCGTCAGCAGATGAACTAAAAAAAGAAATGCTGAAGGAAGTTTTTCAGGCTGAAAGGAAATAATACCAGAGGGAAACTTGGAACTTCAGGAGTGATATAAGAACAATAGAAATAATAAACATCCTGGTACATATAAAAGATGATTTTTCTTCACTTATTTCCTTTAACTCTTCATTGTTGAAAGTGAAAACTGCAATATTGCCTGGTAGTGTTTTCAGTTCATGTCATACATATGACAAGCATAACATAAAGGGGAGAGAGTAAGGGATTTTTATGTAAGGTTTCTTGAAAGGGTGGGTATGTGTACTGTCATTCTTAGAGCAATAACTAAAAAACAAATAATACAGTATCTTATTAGCTGTCCCTAACATAGCTTTTCTCAGGTTTCTACCAAAATACTTATGAGGATCCTCTAGAGAGCTGAAGGAGCTGTCCTATCCTGAAGTTGGAAGAGTATATAGACCCTGAGAGTTAAGAGGCTTCCCCCAGATGCCTCAGAAGGGCATCACAGATATACTCTGCCACACACTACCCATGAACGTGGCACTGTTTAGGATATGCAGCCCAGGCATAAGCTTCAATTGTCTGACAAAGAAATATAACCTCATATCTAAGAATTCCTGAAGCTAACAGGAAAAGTTCAGGCAGAACAACGAGAAAACGTGATGAAGTACAGCAGCTGCTAGAGACCAATGAAATCCGCATTAAAATTAATGAGAGCTCTGGTGGTGTAGCACTTAAGACATTTGGCTGCTACCCAAAAGGTGTGTAGTTTGAACCCACCAGCTGCTCCACAGAAATGGAGATGGGCCAGATTTACAGCCTTGGAAACCCAAATGGGGTTGCTATGAGTCAGAATCAACTCGATGACAGTGAGTTTTAGAAGGAAATTCAAATGCAGCATCAAAAACAAACAAACAAAACCCCCAATGTTTTCTAGAGCCACTTCTTTTCCCAAAACAAATTTAGCAATTCACTAGGTCATTTGAAGGAGGTAATTACTGACACTTTAGTTTGAGTGCAATAAATAAATCTTAAAACAAAATTATAAAAATATGGCAATCACAAGATAAAAGATAAAAATTTGAGGGGAGATATCCAGGAGACCTGATATGTGCATAGGAAGAAGGAGAAAGGAAAGAGAGAGAAGAGAAGCAGTAATTAATTGAACAATAGTGGAAATGTGTCTGAGAGAAAGAAAGACAGATGAAAAGTGTTGTGATTAAAAGACAGACTTACAGGCATACCCTTGTCACATTTCTAAACTCCATGGTTAAGAAAAAAGGCTTATATGCAGAAAAGGAAAAGTTACCTACAGTGAACTGGCACTGAACTTATAATGTGCAATATCAAAAGATGGAAGACAAAGGAATAGCATGTACAGAGAATCAATAAAAAAGAACTGTAACCTGAGAATCCTACACCTAGGCAAGAGAGCATTCACCTGGCAGGGCAAAGAAAGATATAAACAATATATAAAAAATCAGAGATCATATAACTACTCTACCCCATCAGAGAATAATACTTGGAAATAATTATTATCAAACAAGGAAAGAAACATGAATAAATGTATCTGATAATGAGAACAAGGAAAAGGAAAACAATCACTGGTAGTATGGAAAAAAAAAATACAGTAAACATTCCAAATTAACAAGGGTAAAAAACAGAATGAAGAGCAATGTGATCAAACCAGAAAAAAAAAGG